CCTAACTTCTAAGGTAAGTAGTATCGTTATCATCAAAAGTTTTCAGGTTTAGCAAATAAAAATAGACAATGCCTGGGTAAATTTGAATTTCAGATAAAAACAAATAATTTTTTAATATAAGCACACCGCCCTAAAAATGTGAAACTAATTTATCCGTGGACAAGTGCTACTGGAATCTCTTGTTATTCTCATTTTAACAGTGAGGAAACTGAAAGGCAGAGCTTGGTAAGCAGCAGAGCTGCATTCCAAACCCAGGTGTTTGACTTTAATGCACTGTTTTACCCCCTCCCACATTATATCATTCAATTATATATATCTGCTTCCTACCTACCCAAGAAAAACAGAAAATTAATCTGTCCTTAGAGAAGAGCTACTGAAGCTGTAAGAGCAAAACTTACGTATTTTCAGCCAAGAGAAGACAGTGCCTGGGAAAGTAGAGGTCTATTATTTAACATTGCAGGCAGAATTTTGGTGAGAAACCAGCAAGATTGTTAGCCTGGAGCAAACACTGGAAATATGAAGCATCCTGGAGAGAGATACCAGATCAGGGGGCTAAAAGTCCCTTCTACTAAAGCAGCTGTATTCCAGGGCCTCTGGAAAGCATCCTCTTTGTCAAGGCAGCAGTAGGGAAGGGAGGCTGGGACCCTAAGGCATGCCTTTTCCCCTGGATGTCACTGGAACCTGAGTCCTACTCATATTTCCCTGTCACCTCTCAGTCCTGATTTACTTTCTCCTCCCATTCTACAAGCTGCAGAACTAATTGCTTGCCTAATTGTCAAAACTAATTGCTGTGACATTCATTGTTCATCTGCTCCCTTCTGTGGCTTAAGCTTGGGCAGGTGGCTCCCGTGAAGGCAAGGATGGATAATTCCTGCTTTGGGGACAGGGTGCTTCAGAGTAATGGCCCAGCTACTGTTTTTGTCATGGAGAGGATCAAGGAAGCAGCTTCTTCATCGCAAAGAGAACAGTAATTCTTGGCAGGGGTTCACCTTCTTCTGGCTTGAGATGGGGTTATTTGATTGTGAATCAGTTAAGTTTTGTTGTGTAGGGAGTTTCTCTTTCTCATATCAAGAGTTTAGAATTAGAGTTGGTAATTAAGAAATTGAGACCCAGAGAGGTGACACTGTTCCCTGAATTGGAGATTTCCCAACTCACACCCCAAGATGACTTCTACTGCCCTATTCTGCAATTGTTGCAGTTATACAAGTTACTCTTTTACATTTCCATATAAATATTTACTGTATCAAAGTTGAGTACCATTTCCTTATTGGTAGCTAGAATAATAACCATGAATATTTTTTATTGATTATGAAGAACATTAAGGCCTTTCCATGTATTGTTGTCCTCAAAAAATGCATCAATATTTTTATTTTAAATATGAGAAAACTGAAGCAGAAGAAGACTACTGTAACCTTCCTATTTATAACAGCAGAGCCCCATCCTCTTACCTTCTAGAGGCCATGTATGGGATCTTGTTGGCAGGTTTTGGATTCTGATACACAAAAGAAGGTGGAAATAGAAACAACTTGAAACTAATCTACCAGATTCTGCAAATCGTTATGTAGAGCCAGAAACCCTGACATTCCCTTTTGTTTATACTGCTGAGATAAACATGGCTGGATTACAATAGTAGCTTGCAATGAACTTTGGGAGTTCAGGAAAAATTCCTGGGATTTACTGGGGTGGAAAAAACAGTGGGTTGGGGACAGAGACCTGAAGCTTAGTTCTGGATCTGTCACCAACTAGTGTGTTGCCCTGGAGGATCTATGTGCCTCAGTTCTTTCAACTCAGAAATGCAGGGGTCAGCCTCCATGATTTCAAAGCTCCCTGCCATTCTATGCCTTGTGGCCCAGCACATCCAAGATGGACATCACAATGGAGAAGCTTGTAGTGACCTTCAGGATAGCTATGCAGGACTGCAAATAAAAGTCTTATTGTTTGGTTCTTGGTCTTTCTCTGAGACATGAAGAATAATAAAAGCAATGGCACTATTGTGTGAAATAAATGTTTTGTAATCCAGAAGAAAACTATAGCATATACAATGGCAAACCACTTGGAGGCTGAAAAAGTAATTAATTGTATAATTTATTGAACATGACAGGAAAAGTGAATTATGATAAGGGAGAAGGACAAAGGGTTAAAAATGAAGACAAAAAGGTTTTAAAATTCATTGGCTATAAAAGAAGCATTAAAAGATAATTGATGTACAGAAAGAAAGAACTATTTCAAATAGATTTTAAAAGGAAGTCCCAGGCACGATTAGAACACTAGAAGGGGAAAAATAGAAGTTTTTTTTTTTTCTTTTTCCTGAGGAGAAAAAACTGTCTTCATGAAAAACATGCATTTTGAAATAAAGACTGTTGTCATCTTTTTTCTAAATTCTTTGGGTAATTTAATGATCTCTCAACTTTTTATGTGATCTCTCAACTTCCAAATCTTTGCAGGTAGGAAGAATAGTAGGATGTTGGTGGTAAAAGTTACATTTTAGTAGAGACTTCCTTAGCAGGATGTACCGTAGAAGCCAGGGCATGCTGGAGGGGGGCAGAAGATGTGAATTGAGGCCATGATCTATTCTTTACTGTTGTGTGACCTTGCACAAGCCCTGTCCCCTCGCAGGGTCTCGGTGTCCTCATAAATACAGGATGCAACACATCTGAAGCCCTGCTCTACCTTTACATTTCTAACTGTAGAGCATAATTTTTAAAAAGTTGATTGTGAGCAGCTTATAGGCCATTTGCTATTAGGGTAAAACCTAGAAAATATATTTTAAAAGTTATTAATGTTGAGTGTGATAAAAAACATTTATGTTTGGGTCTGAGAACTCTGCTAATGAAAATCGATTCTAGAGCAGTCTGCATTGCTCTCTCCCCAAAGGGGAAATGAATGCAATGTTTCTTCCTCCTCTGTTTCCTGCTTTGTTCATGGGAGTGTGCACATTTTTTGGCAACACAGAGAGCTGACCACACAAAGCCTGAATACGTTGGAGCTGTGGGCTTTAGCATTCAGGGTGATCAGCCCTTTCTCTGTTACTCAGAATTCCAGGCTGCCAGGTGGCCACTCAGAGGGGAAACAACATTCTGCTCCTCATTTCAAAATCAGAAGCAGATGACACAGGCACACTCACTGATCCCATTTTCTCACAATCTGGGGACCAGAAGCCCCAAACCAGGCTGTCAACAGGGTTGGTTTCTTCTGAGGCCTCGGTCCTAAGCTTGTAGATGGCTGTCTTTACCCTATGTCTTTTCACATTTTGTTTCATCTATATGTCTGTCTTTGTGCCCAAACCTCACCTTTTTATAATATAACAATATGTCTTATTGGATCAGACACCCTAGTAAACTCATTTTAATTAGATTAGTTATATAAATACCCTTTCTCCAAATTAGGTCACATTCTAAGACATTGGGGGAGAACTCCAACATACCTTTTGAGGGGAAACAATTCAGTCCATCACAGGCCTTATAAGATATATTGCTTTTGCCTGAAATCAGCTCAGTTATCATCCTATACTTAAAGGAAAAAACAGTTCACTGTGGGTATTTTGCTATGGCAGCAGGAAATTGCAATAGCAATCCTTTCGAAAAAGCACCTGCATCATTCAGTTGTGGCAGTAACTCCATTTCCTCCCACCACTCGGTGGCTAAGCTCCACCATGTTGAGGATAAAGCACATTCAGTATGGCCACTGTGTGCCAAGTTAGAGCTCCAGCTGCAGTATGGTTGTGACACATGAAGTAACTGCCTTGTGGTGGGAGGCAGAAGCTGCCTATCAAAGGGAAACACCTGTCACAGAAGGTTCACTGAAGTCTGGGAAAATAAAGATCTTTGGCTCTGGGCTGTGCTGTCACCATTCTCCCCGTTATTCTAGAGCAGAGTGCACCTATCAGTTCAAAATGCCATGAAAGAAACCAAAGAAGCCAGGCTGGTGAGCAATGTCCTAAAGAGATAATGGGCCACCGAAGTAGTTCTGAGAGCCAGCGGAGTTGGGGAGGAGGAGCAATCTGGGAGCAGGACTAGGGACCAGGAGGAGCTACACCCCGTGGTCTACTGCCTTGTCTCATTCCAGGTGTGTGACTAAAGATTTGTGTGTGTGTTTTCATGGGCATGTCTGTGCATTTTGTGTGCATGTGTGTGTGTGTGTGTGTGTGTGCATGTGTGTGGTTGACTGGATAGGAGAAACCTGAAAAAGGAGAGGAAAAAGAGAGTGTTAAATACCATGACAGGTTAATAAGCATCTGAAATATTTAATTACTACTGAAGTGTTCCATGGCTTTGTCTACAGTTATTTTTTTTAAACTGCAGGGTATGGTTCAGCAGTCGGTTGTGAAATCAATTTAGTCATGCAGGGGTTTTTAACCTGAGGCCCATGGACACTGCCCACCCCTAGAGGCTCAGGGATAGAACTATACTTCAATATAATTGATTTCCTTTGTAATCCTGTGAGTTTTGTTTTATGCATTTGGAAACATTTCTCCAAGAAGGGATCCTCAGTCTTTACTATGTTGGGTAGAAATGGCACATACAAAAAAAGATTAAAAATTTGTGTCAAAACTAGCATTTTAAAAAGGTTATTAAAATAGTATAAACTTCAGGCACAGTGGTGAATGCTTGAATTCTCAGCACTCTGTGAGGCTGAGGCAGAAGGATCATAAGTTCAAGCCCAGCCTGGGCAACTTGGCAAGACTGGCAAGACCTTGTCTCAAAATAAAAATAAAATTAAGATTGGGGAATGTAGTTCAATGGGAAGGCCCTGAGTTCAAGCTTCAATCTCCCCCTGCCCCTAAAAGAACAGACTAAATGAAAGGGAAAAGTTTGGATCCTGTATATACTGTATATACTGAGGGCAAATATTGTTTTGCGAAACTTTTGTTTCAGGAATGAAAATATTTTTGGGTGTATAAATACACATGTGTGTACATAAATGTGTGCACATATATTTATTTCTGCTTGTAAAACATGATCAAAAACTTGATAGCCACTGTTCTACAGGCTACTGGACATTAGGGCAAAGACTAAATAACCCTTTTTTTTTTTTTGGTATTGGGGATCGAACTCGGGTCCTTCCACTTGCGAGGCAGGTGGCAGAACCACTGAGCTAAATCCCTGGCCCAATAACCCTTTTTAAAAATTATGAGCTGGAATGTGGTGAGCCATTCGTACTTTGGACTAGAGAGTTCTACTTTTACGCAGGCAGTGACTTCTGTACACTTGGCTTAGCCACACAGGAGTCAGTGGAAGGTGACCAGATGGCCCTGACCACAGCTCACAGCGGATGGCTCTAACTTCCTCTGCCTTGTTGAAGCCTGACTTAGTTTGAGTGATTCAAAGACATAAGTTGATTTTTGTGGTTCTCAGTCTTCAGCAAGTGTTAGAAGCAGAGGTCTTGTTTCCTGGGAGGTTTATCTTCCTGTTATTGCTGCTAGAACTGTGTTCTTCCGGGAAGACAGCCATGCCACCTGAAGAAACAGAGACAGTATCTTTCACTGAAGGTGACAGCACAGGGAGAAAAGGAAGAGTGAAGAAGAGAGAAGAAAAGGGCAGAGAGGGGAGGTGGAGCAAGTGTTCAGAGAAAGGCGAGTTGGGTCAGAAAGGAGAGAAAAACCAAGAGGAAAATAACAAGAGTGTAAGGCAAGTAGCTGTGTCAGCTGAGCTGTGGGTGGAGAGAGAAGTTATCACACTGGTCTCTTAGGCACCGCTGGCAGGACTCTGCCTCAAGACGGTGAGTAAAAGAAAGGCAATGCAGTTGCTCAGGAGATTAACAAAGACAAATCTGGAATGCGGCCGTAAAGCTGTGAGAGTTGAACTGAGCCAGGGAATGGCCGCCCTGACAGTGAACGCTCATGCTCTTATTAATGTATTTTGAATTAAATTCATATTTACTTGGTTAGTTTAGAAAATGTAAGCTTCACTAAAGCAAGACCTCTGTCCTCCTTGTTTCTTAGATTAGCACCAGTGCCATGGTAAAGGCTCAATAAATATTGGTAAAGGAATAGTAATTGGTCAGCTGGTAATTGATAAAGTTACTCGAAATTAAAGTAGTAATGGTAGTGATAACTAAATTTAATATATAGAACTTAATAGTTTAGAAATCAATTTCATGGATATTATCTCACTTAGTCCTTATAGGTTCCATCAAGTATCACCATTTTTACCCTCATTTTAAAGATGAGGGTATTAGTTCAAAACCACACTATGATAAGTATCTTGTATTTTAATTAATTAATTAGTTTATTTTTTGGTACCAGGGATCGAACTTGGGACCTTGTACTTGCGAGGCAGGCGATGGAATCCCTGAACTAAATCCCTGGCCCTTCTGGTATTTTAATCAATATCTTCTGATGTCAAAGCCAGTCATTTTGGCTGTCACCTGCCTCTTTTGGCATATTGTATATTTAATGTAAATACTTCGTAAATTTAACTAGGAATATTCATAGTAGGTGTGTTAGTCAGGTTCCTCTTACTGTAAAATATCTGGCCAACTAGATGGAAGATTTTGGCTCACCATTTTGAAGCTTTTAGTTCATGGTAGTTTTCCCCCTTCGCTGTGGTAAGGCAAAAGTTCGTCATGGCAGGGATCAAAGTTGTTCACCTCCTTGTGGCCAGGAAGCAATGAGAGAGGTTAGGTTACAATCCTCTTCGAGAGCATGCCCCTAGTGACATAACAACTCCCACTAGGCCCCACTTCATAAAGTTTCTGCTATTTTCCAATAGTGCTATGGGCTGGGACCAAAGCTTTAACACATGGCCTTTAAGGTACAATCTAGATCCAAGCTATAGCATATGTGTATCAGTTTGGATTCTCCAGGAAGGAGATACCCTACTGGAGATGGGAGTGCATGAGAAAGAGGAGCGGGGTGGGGTGGGGGTTCACAGCTGTGAAAGGCAAACAGGAAGGAGCAAGATGGTACCAGGATGCTGATCTGGCACTTGTGTGGGAGGGAGGCAGAATCAACCTAAGAAGGCCTCAGATTGTGATACAAATTTAACAAAACCTTACTTAACATAATGAGGACTCTGGAACAAAGACTGACCATAGATGAGCACTGAGCTGGACAGAAATGGCCAAGCCATCAGTTCTCACCATGCCTAGTTTCTAGGTCTACCTAGAAAGCTCAAGACTTTGGCTTAAAAATTGAGGTGGGTTCTGCAGGCTTTCAGCTTACTGTGTTTTTTTTTTTTTTTTTTGGTACCAGGGATCGAACTCAGGTCTTTGTGCTTGTGAGGCAGGCGGTGGAACCACTGAGCTAAATCCCTGGCCCTTACTGTGCTTTTTGAATTGAGTGGCAAGTTCTTTCTTGAAGCCAGGGGCAGGAGGTGCACTCTCATGGCTAGCACACATTTTCTTAAAATATGACATTTTCTCTTCAATTCCAATTTAAATACTCCAGTGGGAGTGTTTTGTTTAACATATCCTGACTTTCTACCTAGTAAACTGTAGCCTACAATATAGACTAAATATCTCATTCAGTATTGAAAATACTGAATTTCTACCTGCAGGATTAAGAGAAGAGAAAGGATTATACTAGGCTGAGCAGTTATAATTTGATGTGCTGTATCAGATCAACTGTTATCAAAACACAGGAGCTGCCACTCCATTTTTCACATCCATGGTGGCCTTGGCTGATTGATCACAACACTCTTTGTTATGAGTTGTGTTGTCTGCCTCAGAATTATTCTCCACATACTGATACAGACAGCCACTGCCCATCTATCAATGTTGGCATCTCAGATGAAACCAATTTATCATTCCAGCACTAGGTAATAGGGGTGAATATAGGTCTTTGAATAGGTGTGTGTGTGTGTGTGTGTGTGTGTATTTGCATGTGTAAATGTTTGTGTGAGGGCTAGCAAGTACATGAGCTTGAGGGAGATTTAATGAAAATGAACACTTGGAGTTATTTATCAATTAAAAAATTTATGTTTCTACTTTTAAAATTAAACAACTTTTTCCTAAAAATAGTGTAATAAGTAAATATTCTATACAAAAGTCAGTACCTAGATTCCATATGCCTATACATATATATCAGTGGAGATGATTTTGGACTGTAACAAAACCTCAGTACTCATTGACCTTAGTGAATGTGAGTTGATTTTTCCTCTCATGAAAAGAAATTTGTATTTGGGGAACTGTCAGGATTTTAACAACACATTTCTGTGATCCTGTTGTCGCTTTCCTCATATTTGCAGAATGGCTATTGTCTCAGGCATGATTTCAATGCTAGAAGAACCTGGAGGTGGGAGTGCCCCTATGCATAAGGAAATAAAAAATCTTTCTAAGTGGCTTCCACCAGAAGACCCGATTTATGAGTACACTTGTTGGATAAGGGCAGATTCTACATGTATGTGTTTTAGCAAAATAAACTTCTATTTTGAGTTTCAATGGATCCATGTCTTCAAATACAATCTTTAAATAATTTTAAGCCAAAATACTGTGTAGATATTACTATTGAACATAAGATTAACCCCCAAAACTTACCACAAATGAAATAAGAATTTTTAAATTAAATGAATAATGAATTATATTTAAAAATAAGAATGGCAGAAATTGTAGACATTTCCAGCACACTCAAAATGTACAGCATATTTACTAAAACTTCCAGACATTCGAAACTATTTCCTGTGTATCGTATCTAAGTGAGTCACATACCAAAATTAGCAAAATTTGATGCTATGCAATCTTCATAGTAGAAATATAGAATTAAATCCTTGGTAAACCCTAACAATATGTTAATTTTAGATCACAATGCCATATTTTAGTAATTCTTAGTAAATATTTAGTATTTTACTGGAAAGTAGCCCTTCATCATATACAAAAAACTCGTATATAGTGGTTTTTAGTTGATATTGCCTATTATTTGCTCTCAAGAACTGAAGAAAGGAAATTTGGAGGTAAGTTTTTGGTTCATCCAAACTGTACAGAATCATGACTTCTTATATGGGAGCAGTGGTCTGAGGTCAGCAGCATGAACTGAATTTTCATTCCACATCTGACTACTTGGTCTAAGCCTTTTAAGCCCTTTGCAGCCGAGCTCCTCACCAGAAGATGGGAGTGCTGATACAGAAGCTCCTCTACTTATAATGGGATTGTAAGTGCTCACAGTCCCAAATGCATGTTCCAAAAGGACTGTGAATCAGTTTCTCAAAGGATTTACATAAGACTGGTGTGCGTGTTCATACATGTTCTGTGGCATGTATATCTAGGGGACAGAATAATACATGGCATATAGAAGGCACTGAAAATCTATTTTTTGAATAAGTGAATAATGTTTTCCCACAAAATCTTTCTCATTTCTCTTTACTTAGAGTTTGTAAAGGCAGACAAGTGTCCTCCTAGGGATCTCCCAAGCATCCTGGGACATTTCTCTGGTGCTTAGTCCTCCCTGGGATTAACAGGAGTCTCCTACCCATCCAGTGTCTAGCAGCATGCTCCCCAAAAGTTTTCCATTGTCGTCCTCTTCTGTTCTCTTTATGATGTTTGTTGAGTTATACAGGCATAGCACTTTTCTGTTACTTGATTTGCTCTTTGGCCTTTAGAATAATTTTTACTCCTGAACAATTCATTCTACATACGCATGAAACATCTTTCTTTTTCTTATCACTTTTAATTTTTAATCATCTCTTTGGTTTCCATGGTAATTATATATCCTAACAGGAAGTTGTAATATTTGCACTGCTCTTGGAACTACTAGGTTTGATATGGCTAAGGATGCTTGAAAAAACTTCTTAAGAAAGCATCACAAATGCAGCAAAATGCATTGAGGCAAATTGTGCAGTTTTCAATAGTCCAAAATGCAGCAACGCCATCCAACATCTTTGCCGGTCCATGAAGTGCAATCTCACAGAGAACTTTGTTTTCATCTGCAAATATCCATAGGTTGAAAGTTGATAACAGAAGAATGTCTGTAACTAATCTCCTTTCTTCATAGTTTTTCTGTTGGGATAAAGTGAAAGTGCTCTTTAAACTGTAAAGTGTTATTCACATCTCTGTGATTATTTTTATGGAGCATGCTCCATCTCCATTTTTCCATGTTGGGGCATAAGGAGAAGATAGATCTTTGTCCCTTATTCAAAGTGGTAACTCTATGTCAAATCTCCTCTTTGCTCCAAGCACAAATATGTGTCTGTGCACACATGTACATGTGCAAATGTACACACAAACTACTGTAGGAATGGAGATCCTGGCTCACAGAGTCACGGCCTCTGTCATACCAAAAAGGCAAGTAGAGGCAAAATTCTTAGTGACTGATGATTAGTGAACTCTTCATTTTTGCAAGGAAGCACCTCCAAGTACTTGCTTGGTAGAGGGCACCTTTCTAGTCAATCACTTGATGAGCATTCAGAATTGGATTATAAAAGGACACAGGTTGAGATTCGGGTTAGAGGTTTGCATTACATCTCAAAATGCCTGTATAATTACAATGCAGTGATTTTTAGTTGAAAGCTTGTCTAGATAATAAATAGGAGTCTCATTTACTGCCACTTCTGAAGTGTTAGAGGAAGTATAGGTGCTGGCGCATGTTCATGTCAAACAATGGATGACCAATTTTTACACTGAGATTTCTAACCACGCACTTATAAACGACTCACACATAGGAGTGGACAGAAATAAAGCCTGTGGGACAACAGGGGGTAAAGTTTTCCTGCCAAACTTGTCTTGGCCCATAACTACCTTAGATTTTATAAAGATATTTTACTCTTACACTTCACTTTCACTATGGAGCAGCCAAGTCGAAGTGTTTTCCCTGTCGAGTGGGAGTTTTAAGGACTAGCACAGAAGTAGAGTAGGCTTTAGGAAAAATTGTGTATAGGTGAAATCATTGCCACAACCTGCATCTTAGTTCAGTGCCTTGGCCCTAAGCCCTATCTTTATCCCTGGGCACCCTAAATCTCTGCAGACACAAAAACCCTATAGAAATGGCTCCTTATTTCTTAAACAGATCCTAGGTTTAATCCCTCTCTTGCAGACATCTAAGATTTAATGATTTTATATTCATTTTCTCAGGGTCTCTGCTTGTGGACATTAATCTCTGCTAATATAGCTAAAGTTCTTAGGGTCTAACAGTCTTCTGGATAAGTGGTAAGTGGTTTGCATTTTAACAAGGATAAACAAATGCCTTAACTCAAAAGAATGACATGATAGGATTGTTAAAAATACACTTCCTCCCGTAAGCCTCTGCCACCCTCCACCCCTCGTGAGTTAGGCATTTCCACTTCAGTTCCTCAGTGAGGAACTTTTTCCTGCCATGTCACTTGGCACCCATCATAGTGATCACTTGTTCAGTTGTCAACTATGATCTCTGTGTGAAGTGCCTCACAAACCTTTATATGAATTCCCACCACCCTGCTCCTTGATTAAACACTTAGAGGACCTCAATAAATATCTTTGAGTGAAGAATGACTAAACAACACTGAGGGTTTCAGGAACTATAGAAAAGTGACAGGGTGAGGGAAAGGAAGGCAGTATTTGAAGGCCAGATGGCTCCCGTTGATGCCTCCTACTTAGTTATTTTCTAAGCCTAGAAAGTCCTCTGATAAACCTCTGAAAATATCACTTGAAGATAACAGATTTCAACATCCCTTCAAGTGCTTTAGAAGCTCACTCAACATTGGATGTAAAGAGTAAGGAACATTGCCTTGATCTACTATAGTCATAGGTACCGGCAACATACAGAAATTACACAGAAAATGCCGTGACATACATGTTTTATCCAGTGAGGGAATTCATTGTTCAAGTTAAACTATGGAGATAACTCCTTTCAGCAAAAGGAGCAGAGGATAAAAACTGAAGCAAAAATAAACTTTCCTCATCTCCAGTGATGACACAAAAATGTTCAGATAAGAAAGAGAAAAAACACTTCTGGGAAGCAAAAATAGGAAACAGAAGTATTTCAATGGCATCCCGAAGTAAATAGTGGCTAGTATTTTGGCATTGTACTGAAATGAAGGGCACAATATCCTCCTTAGCAACATAGTGACAAGGGCTCTTACAGGAAAAGTGAACTTGGAGAAAGTGAATGAGAAAATGCTGAGAATGTGAGTGGCCAAGAAGAACCTAATCTCTCAGAGCATGCAGGAAAGGCTCAGCTGAATTAATATAGGAAGGAAAATAAAGTTTATCCCAATTTCAGACTATTCTATTAACCATTCCCATGGGAGTCTTCTTGAGTTGTTAATGGGCAAGAATTGTAAGTTTGTATCAGAGCTGCACCACATATAACATATAGTTTAGAAATGTAACTGTGGCTAAGGCAACTACATAACAAACTGTGTGTACTTCTCAGTGCTATGACCCTCAATTTATAGTCCCACTCTTCCTTTTTTTTCTTTCTTCCTTTCCTTTGTCTTTTCCATTTTTTATTTCTCTCCTTTCCTTCCTTTCTTTCCTTTATCTTCTTTTTTGTTGTTTATGGTACTTCAAATTAAATAACATTTTTAGATGCTGCTATAGATAGATATATATGAACCAGGTGAACCAAGAAATAGGTTGTACATAAAGTGGTCAAAACCTGGTAAAAGCACATAACTTCTACAGTTTGGTTTCAATTTGGGTAATATATTATATATATAATCAGTTAATTTCCTCAAAAGCCATACTCCATAATAATAATTTTATAACAGTTGTTTTTTGGATTAATAAACAAATTCAGGTTAGCTATGCAGTTTGACCGATGATAAACAGCTAGAGTGTGGAGCATGAATTTGAAGTTAAATAGTCTGACTCCAATGCCTGTACTCTTTTCCCTTGCATATTTTGGGAAATAAGTACAAAGTAGGTAAAAATCAATATTGTAATTATTGTTTAGCTTAGGTAACAATGTAATGTATTCATTCATCATGGAGTACATTGTACATTTTTCTACTCTGGATGAGGGCATTATTTTTAAAACTATAAAAAATAAGGCCCAGGATTTAGCTCTGTGGCTCTGTGTCTGCCTTGCAAGTGCAAGGTCTGAGCTTTGATCCTTGGTACCAGAAAAACAAAACAAAACAAAAAACTGTAAGAAATGACTGAGGAACCAGAAACTATCCATGCACAAGGTTTTTTTTTTAACATTTTTATTTTAATGCAATACAAGTAGATATTAATAAAGAAAATATAAAAGCCATTCTATAAAAAATAATTTTTCATAACAAAATAATTAGAGAATAACAATGGTAAATAACACTGAGTATCATGACTTAAAAGAATATATTTTCACTTGCTAATCTATCTTTCAACTCATTTCCTAATAATTCTATACCTTTTTTGCATAAAACATTTTAATTATTAACAAAATATCTCACACTCGGTATAATTTTGAACAAGTTCTTCTGATTTCACAATATCTATTATATAGTTTGGTCCTTATTTAATACCAAAGAGACAATGTGATATTTATGCATGCGTATTTGATTTATTTCCGTTAAGAGTGTGGTTTCAAGGCATGCACAAGTTTTAAAAACTAAGCATAAGTTTCTTTTCTTCTGGGCCTGGACTAGTGGACACAATGGCCACATTCCTAGCCTGGAGATTCTAGCTAGAGTAAGTGTTCCTAAATTGAAGTCAAAGCTTCAAAACTTTGGTAGATTACTCCAGCATTCAGCACACTTTGTGCCCTTCCAGGAGGTACCTGCTAGGTGAGTATATACTGCACTTCAGGTACTATTTCACACACAATTGCTCCTACTTCTGTGTCATTGACTTACACTATAACCTGGGAAGGATCAGAATGTTAATATATTTTAATTTGCTTCTATGACAAATTACAGTGTTTATATTTACAAGTCTGAGAATTGATGGGGACAGTAAGTGCATTTAGAATTCATATGTGTGAACACTATGAAGTCCTTTGAGCTTTACTAAAAGGGTAGATACACAAGGCGTTACATTTAGAAATTGTTTAGAAGCAGCACATTGAGAGAAGCCACATTTTGCTTTTAAAAGAAAACCCTCATCACAACCCCTTAATTATGTGCCATACACAATTTAACAGGTGTGTGTTTTATTCATTTATTCACAGCCTTTGGACTAACCATTCCATCATAGCACAATTGTCTGAAGCAAAACACATTTACAGAAAATAATATCAACTTCTCAGAGAGACTGAATTAACCAATCTCCAGAAATCCTTGAAAGAAAGGTTAATAATCACCAAAATGATGATCATTAAGAATTAAAACTTACATCAATAAAGTCTTTTCCATCCTTAGATTTCTGGTTCGTCTCTAACCCACCTTCACATGCATGACATGAAAGGGAAAACACAAAGTCTATGTATTGTTTTTATTGACAAAATACATTTGTGTTTCCATATATAACCTGGATTGTCAGTGGCTCTCTTAGAAAAGGTCCTGGAGCCCTGCCTTTCATTGCTTATACTTGTTTCGTGGGAGGAGGATGCTTTTTTTCTGAATGGTAAGACCAAAGAAAGCTGGGCTGGGGATTTAGCTCAGTGGTTCTGGTGCCTGCCTCGCAAGGACAAGGTCCTGAGTTCGATCCCTGGTACCAAAAAACAAAAAAAAGAAAAGAAAGCGCTACACCTTGGTCATATTTCTTTACTGGACAAAGTTAAGTGTTAATCTCCCCGACGTGGTCCTAATAGCTGTATGCTGTTTTGGGTTGCATTGTTGTGGCTTCCTTGATGTCCTGAAAAGATTCAAAATATTTACCTTTTATGGAGATCTTGACTCTGGGGAGGAGACAGAAGTTGCATGGTGCCAGTCAGTAAATAAGGTGGATCAGGACACACCATCATGTTTCTACAAGCCTGTCTTTCTGTCGGGCAGCCTGAGCAGCAGCATTCATCATATTTCTGATAATACCTCATAAAGATTCATAAAAGAGGAGAAAGAGTACTCTCAGAACTGCTTCAGACAGTGACAAGAATGATGAGATAGTGTATTTGAAATGAGGGGAAGTATTTTTGAGAGGGATTAATGGTAATTTCTTTTACTGTAAAACACTTTTAAAAATTCAATCATTTACTGTATATTTTTATTACCACTTAAATATGCCTATCTCAAGTTTCCATGTGGTCAGCTTGCCCCTGGTGAATCCAACTAAGTCTCTTGTCCTTTCTTCTCCACTTGTAGGTAGGTAGCAAGTTATGGTTCAGTGGGTTCCCAGGTATAGACATGGAGCAGAGTGGAAATAAGTCCAGTTGTATTTCCTGCACAGTTTAATAAAGAGCCCTATACTCTGTGGCCCAACCTATAAAGCTGATACTGTCCTTGGAACATGCAGCGTTATCCAGTCTCACTTTACTGCTGGTAAAGCTGAGACTGTGATTTGATTCTCTGCTTTTACCTTTTGTCAAGTTCTTAACTTCATGAAATTGGAAGATAAGAATTGGATGAATGATTTTTACCCTGACCCCGAACTCCAACAGAAACTAAGGATTTCTGAAGAAAGAGCATCAGAGAGATTGGAACTAGGGGAGAGTGTAATTGAGGCATGTGTATAACTACGGGTATGTGTGGAATGATAGCTACTTTTTGCCTGCTTGCCTTCCTCCCTTCCTTTCTTCCTCCCTTCCTTCCTTCCTTCTTCTTTTCTTTTTTTGCAGTACTAGAAATTGAACTGCTTTTCAGTTTCTGCCTGTATTTAATACATCACATTGTCCTAATTAAGGAAATAAAAAAGCTACATTTGAAAACGATCCCTAAGGCTATAATGCTGTTGGCACAGTGGGAAATATGCAATCAATAAGTAAACAGACAAGATCAGCCTGAAGACCTTTCAGAACAACATAGCTACTCAGGGGGAAAAGAAGTTAGCATTAGATTTAGTCTATTTAAATATTTTTCAAGATCTTTGTTGAGTTTCAGGAAATAGTGTCTCTTCCTTGGAATCATGTTTGTCTAGCCTAGAGAACACTTGATATTCACCCTGTGACTGTTTTAGTGTTGGAGCTGGACCAACAGAAATTCATGGGCAATGAAATGATTTTCACTTGTGGAGATGAATTCATTTTTTGCTTCCTTCAGCAATTCATCAGTCTAATGGGAAAAATAAAAGCTATCACAATAATGAGAATGGACTTCTGGGAGCATAAGCCAATATAAATAATTTATTTCATAATGTAAATTCTATTTATATATGGTCTTAATCCAAATTTGATCTTAGTCAAAAGGCTAAGAAGCCATCCAAATTTGTTTTTAATTGAGTTTTCTCGCCATCACATACTCTCTCGTATTTACATGTGTAACTTTTCTCATAACACAGATATCATATTTGACCAGATTCTATTGTTATTGGACAACAATGATGATATTGTTATTCTGAGCATCATTATCAACATATCAAGAAATGTTTTACAGAACATTTTGAATATTCTGTCTGTCATCTGGATATTAGATGAAGTAAATACTTATTGTGTGATATTTTCATCCTAAACAATAATAGTAATTGAGAATAAAAGAGAGTATATACTTTTTTTTTGATACCAGGAATTGAACTCAGGACCTTGTGCTTGCGAGGCAGGCATGGTGCCACTGAGCTAAATCCCTGGCCCAAGAGTATATCCTTCTAAAGGTAACATATTAACACAGTGAATAAGTATCAAAATTTTAGTGTCATCACTAAACTTCAAAATGGTTTTTTAACTGTTATATGAAAACATATTAATGGGGTAACATAGTTTTTGACACACACAGATACATATATATAGTGTAATATTTAAATCAGGGTAAACATATCAATCTCCTCAAACATTTACCTTTTTGTTTTTTGAAACAGGGTCTTCCCAAATAGTTCAGGTTAGCCTTGAACTCATTATGTAGCCCAGGCTGGCCTTGAACTTGTGGCAATCCTCTTGCCACAGCCTCCCTTCAAAGTGCTGGGATCATAAAGATTTACCATTTTTTAATGATGCAAACTTTCCAAATCTTTTCTCCTAGCCTTATGAAATATACAGTACATTACTGTTGCTTATATTCACCCTATTGTGCAACAGCACATCAGGACATTTTGTTCCTATCTCCCTGTAACTCAATACCTCTTGACCATCTTTCACCCAAAGTTCCCTTCACACATGGTATCTGCGGTCTCTGGTAACCACCATTTTTCTCTCAGCTTCTATGAGAGCACTGTTTTATAGTCCACAAATGGAGGAGATCATGTGATATTTGTCTTTCTGTAACTGGCTTATTCCACTTACTGTAACAATCTCCAGTTCCATCCATGTTTTCTCCAATGACAGGACTTTACTTTTTTATGGCTGAAGACTATTCCACTGTGTGCATGCACCACTTTGTCTTTATCCAGTCATCAGTTGATCGATACATAGATTGCTTCCATGTTTTGGCTATTATGAATAATACTGCATTGAACATGAGAGTGCAGATGTCTCTTTGACATATTGATTCCATATCCTTTTAATATATATCTTGTAGTGGGATAGCTGGATAGCATGGTAGTTTTATTTTTAACTGTTTGAGGTAGGCTACTTTTAAATTTTTGAACTAGATAGAAGAGCTAAAAATTCTCTTATTTCATCTCATATATAAAGAAAAAATTAAATGTTTATAGGGTAGGTGATTCTGAGAACCAAGCATCTGAATTTAGCAATATTTTCAAATTTTGTGGCTCCTCCAATCCCATCCACCTACTGTCAGTAGAATGTTCTGGGTGTCCAACTGTTGGCAGTTATTTCCCAACCTCTGTATCTGTGGTTACTGACTTGCTACTAACCTATTTTCCATCTTGATCCTGATTCTGCTTCATAGTCTCCTATTTAATAACTTCCTCTACTCCTTGGACCAAGTTGTTGAGTTCCTTCAAGGACTCTTGGCATCTCCCTTTCTGGCTGACTTGGGAGGGATAAACCACCCTAGGAGGCTCTAGATGCAGCTGCTGACCAGGTGTCCCTGGTGCGTGGATTGATCAATAAGATTCAGGCTGAAACTTAACTGTTGTTTATCCTTCTTTACCTAGCTAACAAGCATTGATTTACTCAAGTCTTTCCCTGATTCCTACTCACCTATTGTGTGTACTTTCTGAAATAATTTATTGAGTGGTTAATAGAGTGGTTACCAGATACTGAGAACTATGCTAAATGTTTGAGATGAACATGCCATTTAATACTCCCAGTAACATTATAAGGTAGGGAATATTATTATCTCTGTTTTATATATAGGAAAAATTTGTTTTAGAATATCTGAATAATTTCTTCATGGTTGTACATTGTACAGTTACAAAAAGTTATAACCCTGGGCTGGAAACTTAGTCATTTTTATTTCCAGACACCTGCTCTGAACCAGCATCCCGTATTGCCATTGGTTTATAAAGTGATCTCATTCACATTTAGGAGTTCAATCACCACCAAAGCTTCAATAACATCTACCTTCAGTTGCCTACCAAAAATCTCCACTTAAATGTCTTAGAAACACTTCAAACTAAATATATCTAAAACCAGATATAAGTATTTCCCCCTTTAAACTCAGTCCTCTTAAATGTTCCCTTCATCCGTGAAGGAAACCATCTTTCATTTGATGGTATGAGTTAGACACCTGGGCATCATAATGCTTATCCCTCACATTCAATTCTGTACCTAATCCATTACTGAGTTATGTCATTGATACCTCAGAAATGTTTCAAAGCAGCCTTCTTCTCTGCATCTCCATAGCCATTACCCTTGTCCAAATATTATCTCTCATCCAAACTAGTGCCATGGACTTCTGTGTTAGTAAGGGCTTTCCAGAGAATCAGAGCCAGTAGGATACATAGAGATACAGGACAAGGCTGAATGTGGTGGCGCACTCCTGTAATTCTAGCCCTCTGGAAGTTGAGGCAGAAGGATTGCTGTGAGTTCAAGCCCAGCCTGAACTGCATATCTCTTGTTTCAGATAGAAATGGGGAGGGGGGATTTATAGGGATTGGCTTATGCAGTGATGGAGGTTAGGTCCCACATTTTGCAGTCTGCAAAATGAAGGCTCAGGAAAGCCAGTAGCACAAAGGGCTGATGACCAGGGGTGCCAGTGGTGTGAGTCTCTGGAGGCTTGAGAACCAGGAGTCCAGGAGTCTGAGGGGCAGGAAAAGATGGATCTTCTAGCTCAAGCAGTGGATTTACCTTTCCTCTGCCTTTGTTCTGTTGGCTCAATGGACTGAAACAGTTAATGCTCACTCACACGGTGAGGGTGATCTTCATTATTCAGTTTACCAACTCAAATGTTAATCTCTTCTAGAAACATCCTCACAGATGCACTCAGAAGTAGTGTTTTACCAGCTATTTGATTATCTCAGCCCAGTCAAATTGACATAAAATTAACCATTAAGAACCCTGACTGGTCTCCTCACATCTGGATTGTTCCTCTTCATCTGCTCTATTGTTCCATCTTCACTGCAGTCTAAGAGATCTTTTCTAAATGCAACTATGAACCTACAAGCCTCCCCTTCATTCTTTTAATTGTTCTCATTGTTCTTAGAGAACAATGCATTTAGCATAAGACTCTGTGAAGTCTGGCCTCTACCTGGAGAAACCATGCTTATCTGGGCTCCTTTCCCCTTGCTTTTTATACTCAGGCCTTCTTTTATTTGAACATCTTTATTCCACTGCAAGAATTTTACACATGCTATTTTTGCTGTCTGATATGCTTTCAGCCCTCCAGTCTGCTGAATTCATCTTCAGTTCTTAGATCACATGTCAATTCCGTATGGACACCTTTCCTGTTCCCCTTTCCAGACTACATCAAGTTTTCCTGTTACACCCTTACAACACCATGAATCTCTCTGTTAGAAGAGTACAGTTTTTACTATTACTGTTGTTTATGTAATTATTTACTCAATGACTCTCTTTCCCAGTGAAATAGAAGCTCCACATGGGCAGAGGCCAGGTCTGTTTTCCAGAAAATTGTATTCCCTGCAGGCCATTGAGACATATTCAGATTCAATGGTAAAAACTTCATCTCTTTTGGGTGATAGGCCACACTAGATTTTAAGAGAGTGAAATTTTTCTGGCTCAAAATCTCATGCTTCTATTGTGAAGTTTTAAATATACCAAAAATATCTTCTTGTATAGTCCTCAATTTTCTCAATTGTATACAACATAAGGATATAATCTGCTCTTTGCCATTGCTGAGTCTTGAAAGTTGGCTGCACTGTATGTGTGGCAGTGAGAACCAGGTGCTTGGGCATGCAGGCTGCTTCCCCACATAGCCCTGTAGTTCTCCTTCTGAGGTTCCCAGTTACCTCTGCTCCATGTCAGGATCAACTTGGTTGGAATGATTATTCACGTTTGCCTTTTGCTTCATCCTTGGATTTTGTATCCTTAGGTTTTGACAGCAATGGGAGTAAGGGGTCGGTGCAGTTGTTGGTGGTGATAGTACTCATGGCTGTGCTCATTCCTGAACCCTGGGAGGAGGGGAATTTGTGAAGATCTGACCTGAAATCCAAACTGCCTAGAAGAAAGAACAGGGAGTAATGGGGTTCACATGGAAGGATGAGATGCTAATAGGGAACAGTTTTCAGTATGTGTTGGGGAAGTGATTGTCAGGCCTACTGGTTTTCATCCTTTGAGACTGGCCTAGAAATCTGCATTTTAATGCAGACCCATGTGATGCACATGGTCTCTGTATTACAGTTTGAAGAAAACACTGGCATACAGATATCTTTTATTCAAAACAGTGTTGGCATTTATTCTCAGAACAAAAACCAGTGACTAAAATCTAAAAGTGCTCTCCTATATTCTCATCTCTACTGACTTTCTTAGCACAACATCACATATGCCATCATTAGGGCTGATCCTCATATCCCTTCCATAACAGTATACTAATGGGTATCATTATTTTTTAGTGGTAAGATGTATAGAAGAGTAGCTACCTGTTTTTCTTTGTGAGCCCCAGGAACATCTGCTGATTAACATCTGGCGTTCTCTGTAACAGGTGTATGCTAGAGATAGCAATGTTAAAAAATCATATGATATCATTCCATTTCACAATTTGCAGTCTGTCATTCCTGCCAAATGGGTCAATTGAGATATAAATCATAATTTGAGCAGATGTGTATTAATAATTTAGGGAAGTGTCACAATTCTAGAGTCCAAAAATTTGGACGGAAGGGGAGAGGCAATTTTGAACTGTCCAGGAAACTCACTTTTTCTTCCCTTTTGTAAAGTTCTCATCACCTCTTTACTCATCCCCAAAGCATTAGCCATTTTAAAAAACTTTATAAAGAAGATAAAAATTAGAGAGCTCTTTGAACAAGGATAAGTAATTGTATGAATGGAGGAGACATCTAGATATCGATGGATTTCAGACTGTCTGGTTCAGGATATGATTGAGTTATGTTATCTTTTACTCTGTCTGGAACTCACTGCAGAGAGAGAGCCCAGGTGTCAGATGTAGTTCATTATTTTTTCCACACTACTACAACAACCAAGAGTTCTAAGCAAGAATTCAGTGGTATTGTCTCTACTACAATGAAAGTTGTTTGACATGGGGTCTTGTGCCTGTGTTGTTCTCCACTGTGATCTCAGCATGTAAAATATTGCTAGACACATTCCACTAACTTTATAAGGCCAGGTAGCTTCCATTTTTGTGCTTCTGAGAACTTTGAACTGGCTATGAATTTTCTCTCTCTGATGGAGAGTCTGTGTGAAAGATGGTTAGAATGAAGTAGATGGACTCAAAATCCAGTGGCTGACATCTTTATAAGAAGGCTATATGAAGACAGACACACAGATCATGTGACATCAGAGGCAGTTTGTAGTAGTACAGCTGCAAACCAAAAAAACACCAAGAATTACTGAAAGCTATCAGAAGCTAGGAAGTATTTTTCCCCAAGGCCTTCCAAAGGAGCATAACTCTACTGACATCTAGATTTTGGACTTCTGTTCTCCAGAACTGTGAGAAAATCTGTTGCTATAGGACTCCTAGTTTGTGGTCCTATACTACAGCTAATTTAGGAAACTAATATATGAGGAGAGGTCTTGAAACTATAGGGAAGGGATAATGACTAGTCACTCACCATTCTAATTAATTTTTTAGTTGGCTCCAGCTCCAGCAGCTGTCTGACTAAGTATACATGAGAGATCCCAAATGAGACAGACAGAATTGTCAGGGGGCCTCAGACACGAGTATCCTGGCATGAGAAAATGAGAATAAGCTTCTGGAAGGCTAGGAGTTTGGTCTATTTTCTTCTTTACTGCCATGTCCCCAGTAGCTAGAACAGTTTCTGGGATGTAGAAGATGCACAGTAAGTATGTGCAAAATGTCTGAAAAATATCCATCCCATAGCTTTTGAATGATAGCGGCATCCTATGGACATTCGAGTGTATATATATTATTTAATTTACTTACCAATATATCCTTGGAATCTTCCTTATTGTTGCATAAAGATCTTATTTTTTTTAGCTGAATGATAGTCTATTGTATGGCTGTGCCACAGTCTGTTCAACCAGTTGCTTATTAATAACCATTTAGTTTGTTCCCAGGTTCTGTGATTACAAATATCACTGCAATGAATGATTTTATGTGATTTTTGTATTGATGAGGCAAAGTTCTTAGAAGTGCAACATTAGTTTTAAGAGCTCATGCCCTCCCATGAGTGTTTCAGATAACAGTGACAGAATTCTCGATCAGATGCACCACTGACTTACCCAGGATGACACTTCTTACAGTCTTTTCAGTGAGTGTTGGTGTGGTTCATGTCAGGTGTCAGTGACCGGCTTTTTAAAAAAAATGTAGATTTCATAGACACAGTAAAGTGTTTGAAGCTGTGAAATTACAGCTTGTATGTTCAAGATCATGCTAAATGGTCGCAATAGAATCAAATGTGATGCAGCAGATCATAAGTTCTGGACAACTGGGTAATTTAGCAAGACCTGTCTCAAAAAAAGGGGCGGGGGTATGTAGCTCAGTACCAGAAAAAAAGAAAAGAGGGAAAATATTGAAAGCCTAGCTCTTGGGTGACCATTGCTTGGATTTCTAAAGATGGCTGAGGTTTAGGTCTTAATGCTATTATATAATAATAGACATCTGTATTTTTAATATTTTTCAAAGGACATTTGAGTATCTAGGCCAATACATAATAGCTTCTTTGCCAATCTTGCTCCATCATGGACTTTCATTTTCATCATAGTCCTAGGGCTTTGATCTTATTATTTTAGTCAGACTTTGACACTGGGGACATTAGGCTGAAAAGAGCATCCCACTTGGTTTATCTGTGTTGTTTCCTACAGGAGGGCAAAGCTGAATCAGACATAAGAGATGGTTCTAAAAGGAAGCAGTCTCTGAATCCTTAAGCCAGGCACAAATGCTATGGTTCTTTTCATGGTGTATTTTCATCTGAAATGTGATGCTAATAACACATACCCATACCCTTAAAGGGTATGGTGGTGAATATTAATGACAAAATGCGGTCTGAGCTCTTCAGGCCTGAAGTCTTTGATAAAATTTGGGTTATAGAGCTGGTGAGATAAAGGAGAACATTCCAGTCATGATCATTTCTCATTATAGCGTACCTTGACAGGTGCTTTGAGCCTCTCACTCCAACAAAGTCTGGACATTTTCACTAGAGTGTACATGGATTTTTAATACTCTGCTTTATCTTCTTAGGTACTAACTGCCAGAGACTATGGGGAGTTTTTTCATTCAGAAAATATGTTTGAAATATTCACTCAGTTCTTGTGGATTCTCAGAAAGAGCCCAGGGCTACCAGCCAAGGCTTTGTTTTTTCTGACTCCACTCTAACACCTGAATGGCTTGAGGAGGTCACTTCATATGGGCCTCAGTTGCCTTTACATTAAATCAGGGTAATGACTATGTGTGGCTAGAAGGGAAATTTCAGTGGGAATGGGTACATAGGCATGTTCAGTAGAGTAAAGGCCATTAAAGATTAATATTATTATGCCTCAAGTAATAATAATACTCAAATAATAATAATAAATACTCAAATAGTACTTTCTCAAATTGTAAAGAAAACTGAGATGCTGGGAAACAAAGCCAGCACATTTAGGCTATGGCTTTCTATCTTAAATTGAGCTATAGACTAGTATCACATCTAAATTTTTTACTGTGATATGTCAAAATCGTGTGTGCATATGCATGTGTATATTGTGTAAAGTATAGGACATGTAAAATCTGTACATATAGATATAAAATATAAGGATATCAATGCTTCAGTAATAACAACAATAAAGAAAATCTTTTCGGTGGAACTGGTGTATGAGGGTATTGTTTTTATGTCCCCTGGAAGAGTCAGGAGATGACAGAGAGCCTGAAAGTGAGACTCAGAGCCCTAACAGCATGTGTTTGATCTCAAGGGAAAGTCCATGGGCTTTGGATGATGGCCTTAGGAGCCTGATGCAGGTTTTATTTCAAGAGCACTAGGAATGTAATGAGAGAAAACTAGTTGTTTTGTTTTGTTTTATTCTTACTGAAAGTGGATGCCTAAATGGTGTCTGGTGATGCTGGTAGTTACGTGGTGATTAGAATCTAGTAATCAGTGAGAGTTCACTATATTCTACTTAGATGCCAACTGGGCAGACAGGTAATGCTGAAGAGTGAAATAAGTAAGGAATGTGTTCTTTTTTTTTTTTTTTTTTGTTACCGGGGATCGAACTTGGGTCCTTGCGCTTGCGCAGCAGGCAGCGAAATCACTGAGCTAAATCCCCAGCCCTGCTTTTTTTTTTTTTTTTTGTTACCGGGGATCGAACTTGGGTCCTTGCGCTTGCGCAGCAGGCAGCGAAATCACTGAGCTAAATCCCCGGCCCCAGGAATGTGTTCTTGTAATCCAGTATCGTTATACTTAGAATTCAAAACCATAACTATCTTATCTGAGGAAGATAATAGGGAGTGGCAAGAACTGAGGTTCAATGGAGAATATTGCTTGATTTAATTTTTACAGGTGGGAATATAGGTCTGTGTTGTGGGATCTTTTGATTTTTATTTGAAGTCTGTGATCTGGATTTTTATATAAAATTCTCCCCTTTTTTGGCATTGGTATACACAAATTCCTACCTATACAACCACAGATCTTTATGTATGACAAACTGAAATGGTTTCTATGGGGATCTTTGGCGATGGAGAAGAGATGATACCAGGCCAGGATGGGAAGACAGGGATATAGCCTCGCACTGGGTGATACCATCATCAGCTCTTGCTTCCCCTTCTCTCCTGGAGCTTAGCCTATCCTTCAGGGTGGAAGTAGAAATGCTTTTGGGCCATAAGGTAAAAATCTATTACTGTCCTAGGGACTAGGAGTTGAGGAATGTTGCTTTAGAACTGCTTTAGATTCCTCATTTGGCTTGCCAAATATCCTGGGTCTCCCAGCCATAAGGGAATTAATGTATAAAATGGAGCCTTGCTTTGAAGATCACATGAGTTTCTAAGATAAACCATATAAGCCATATTACAAGAAAGGTGGGTCCACAGAGTGGAACTAATAATTGTCCTTATAATCACAAACACTAGTTATTCTAATAAGGTGGGGGGAGTAATAGGCAAATGATTACCACCTTTGCACTTGTAAAAAATGGCAGGGTGGAAACACAATAGCTAAAGGACAGCCTTCTTAGAAGGTGATTCTGGGTAATTCCTTTGCTCCAGAGCTGGAAAGATAGTAAGGAATGATTCATTGTCTTGCTTCTCTTGACTCTCTAAAATCTCCCAAATGCTAAGCAACAGGAAAGAAAATGTCAGGCAGGGTACAGACTACAACTATGAAGTTTTGGAGAGGGCACTTCTGTTCAGTTGATTACCTCAATTTTCTCACTCATAAAAGGACAAAGTCAAAGAACACCTTTTCAATACACTGTAAAAGCTGATTTGGAAACCAAAGGCTTGATTCCTTTCTTTTCTCTCACTGTATGTAGAAATCACCCACACCCAGTTTAATCAAACCTGCTTTTGTTTTGATGATAAGATCAAAGGACTAATAAACCAAGGTGTGTAACCCATGGAAGGCTGAGGGAAGGAAGCAGGGTTGGAGGTGGTGAGAATGAACTTGCATTGAACACCTAATAGACACAGCTACACACATTATCCTATTTAATCCTCACAGCTTTCCCATGAGCTAGGTGTCATTACCTTCATTTTATAGTATGGGATTTTCTTTTTGAAGGTTTGCTCCAGTTACAAATCAAAACTAAAAATAAATGTACTACACAGAAAATGAAGAGAGAAGGGAAGGGGACATTGAAAGCTACATTCTTCTGATTTGCCTTTACTTATCTGGTGGATTTTTTTAGTTTCCTTTCTCTGACCAGTTCTTTCTCTCTTTCTTTCCTTCTTTCTTTCTTTTTTTTTTGTTCAGGTCTCACTATGTAGCCCAGGGCTGGCCTCAAACTTGCAGCAATCCTTCTGCCTCAGCCTCCTGAGTGCTGGAATCACAGGCATATGCCACCACATCCGGCTTTCTCACTACTTCTGAAGGATCTTGCCTACCTCAAGCATAAGGTATAGCTTCTAGGTAGAGGCTCTAGCTGTAGTTCTGTCCTAAGTTGTAGAACAGTGTTAACTCCTGCCAACTCTGAGCTAGCCAACTGTACACATAAGCGAATAGGGCTTAACAGTTCATGGCCAGCTGGTGTGTGTTGGGACCAATCACTTCAATCCCCTCCAGAATCCAAGTGAGATTAGGACTGAACAGCATCTGCTTAAACCAAGAGGCCAGAAATATGGCTGCAGATAGCACTTCTGGGTCAGCAGCATCTTTTGTAAAGCCTATGGCGTACTGAATGACTTCTGGGAGCCTGTAGTATTTTCTGGTACCATTGACTTTTTGGATCCCCTCCCAAATGGAGGGATTCCACCCAAAATCCTTACATACTTCCTCTTTGTCTATAGTAAGATACAGAAGCACTATTTTACTTTGCTTATCTGTGATCTGCATTATCTAGTTTAGCATCTACTTTATTAACTCTGCTCTGGTCCCTGGGTTGAAACTCTAGGACTGCTACTTTCTGATTTTGAGCTGAATAAAATCACAAAATCCCTGGACAGCCATGTTCTTTGCTCTGTTGGCATTGTCTAAGGAAATGGAAGGTTGGTTCTTCTTTTCATATTCCATGTTAGTTACTGATTAGGTTTTCCTGCCATCTCTCATTACAAGACATTCCATGTCAACTCTTGATTGAAGGTATTTGCAGCTATCTATTTGAGTGTATCCACATGCATGTTTCCAGTATGCTTCAAATTCAATAATGTTCAAATCAAGTAAGGTCTCCCTTCTGACCCAAAGTCTTGTTCCTTTTCTTTGTGCATTATGTAATGTTATGGGTCAAATATGAGATGTCTCCCAAAGACTCCTGTATTGTGTTGATCCCCACAGCAGTAATGTTTAGAAGTAGGGCCAAGAGAGGTGAAGATCCTAATTTCATCAATGGACTGATTTTTTTCTTCAAACTACTGTGATAATTTAATACATCTATAAAGTTTCTTAAAAATAATAATAAAGGGTAATTATGATTTTAAAACACTTTACATTATAACCAACTTGACTTAGTATTGGCTTCATAATATATCGTGTGTCAGACATGCTAGGCTCATATCCCTGGACCACTATAGTGTGTCATTTGTATATCATGTAGCTTCTCTAGATCTTAGTTTCATATATGTAAATGGAAATAATACCTTCTTCAGCTACAAAATAAAATGTGATACTATAGATGAAGTGCTTAGCACAGTGCCTGGCATACATGGTGATGGTAATTGTAATTGTTACTATCATTGTGCCTTTTCTCATGGAAAAGAAGAAATATCTTCCTGATGTTTCTTCTCTTTTTCCATCAGAAAAAGTTTTAGAAGACTAAGCTCAACATGTTTCCTCAACTGTTCAACTGCAAATAGCTCTATTTTCTGATTTTATTATCTTATGCCCACTTTTCTGCTTGTCTTTTTAGCCTGACCTTCAAAACCCTTCCTTTTGTTTTCTGTTTTCCCAGGGATCTTCTAATACCTCTGCACCACCTGTTCCCATGATGCCCCTCTTCACCTCATGACTTTTATTATGCTCTCTTCCTGGAATGGCTCTTTCCTTTTTCCTTTGCTACTAGAACCTTACTCATCTTTCAAGGACCAGCTATATGAATTTTTCTTTGCTTACCTGCAGTTAGAATTACTTCCTCATTCAGTTTCAATAACACACCACTTATCTCTCTATTATGAAGCCTATATTTGTGACCTTTTATTTATGCACAGGTATCTTTCCCCTTGGGCTATGAGCTCTCCCAGGAAGGGATTATGCCTTATTCACACTTGGTTCCCTGAGCACCTGATACTGTGTTCAGAATAGTTACCCATCAGATGTGCGTTGTAACTGTACCACATAGATGTACTAAACAGCATCTGCCTAAACCAAGAGACCAGGCACATGACTGAAAGTAGCCCTTATAGATCAGCAGCACCCTCTGTAATGCTCGTGGACTGCTGAATGGTCCTCAAGGACAGAGTGAATAGATGGCTTAAATTTTATCACAATCTCTATATGACATAAAATACCCAGTCAAGAGCATAAACAGAGACTAATATTTAATGGCAAATGAATTCCAGAAAGCATAAGAGAAATCAGGTCACATGCAAGGCAAATGTGTCAGTAAGACTAAGAAAAATCTAATAAACTCTGGTTATGATTTTTAGTCCCTATGTACAATGTAGAATCTTTATTGAAATTTATGGTTATGGAAAACTGGCCAGTTTTATTTTCAGCATGGTCGGTCAGGTCAGGGACATTTCCTGTTATCAATAGAAAGCTGTAGTACAATTAAATGGATCAATGATGCAGTGAGCTAAATTAGTTTTTTTTTATGGTCAAATAATTGGACTACTTGTACATTTTACATTATTTCAGTTGTACAGGCATAATCTTTGGATCTATCATATAGGAAGGAGCCTGGCTGCTCCAGCCTATTGATTTGAGAAGCAGTAAAAGGAACTGGTGACAGTTAGGAAGGCAGTAAAGTAATATCAATAAAATCATACAGGAGATGCACATTTGACACACTGAATTACTTTATGTAGACTTAATGTTTTTTGAGAACAATTTACAAATCTGGCCTAATTCAATTAGTACTATAATAATCTACCTTAAAATATGGTAGGACATCCTGTTATAGATTTAATGTGTTTGGTTCTGGTCTGTGGAACATTATTATACTTGTTATCAGTACTGTGCTAGTAAACTAACTCTCTATTTTATTTTCTATCTGTTTTTTAAAGCCTTGATTTGTAGTGTTTTCCTACTTCAATGGTGTAAATACTCTCATAATGGGCTGTTTTTGTGCTACAAACAGTTTAACAGGCTCTCAAAGTTTCTGAACATATGACAATCAGCTCTTCAGAGATGGTAAGAGCTGAATCAGACACATGATTGGAAATTATTGTGAACAACAGAGAGAGGCTGCAAAGACTTAAAATCATGTGATTTTACTACTAGAAACATTCAGAATAGTCCACCCCCATCCCTTACTTTACAGAACTTTTTATTTGGAAAGGCTTTGTCTTTTGACTAGCAGATTTGAGATGAGAATCATCATGTTTGTACTCCCAGTGTAGTATTCTATGCAGAAGCATTTACAGAAGGTGTTGGAAAAAAAATTCACTGGGTATGAACGGAATCATGAGTGTATAATCTTGCTATGGGATATGGATAGGACCAGATGAGCAAAGGAATTGTGGACCTAAAAGCTCTCACAATGTTGCTCCAGACTACACTGAGAATGACTTAGCAAACCAGTTTGTAACTTTAGTTATAATGGGCAGGTCACTTACACTCTCTGGGCTTTGGTTTTCTGATTTTTGGGGTATTTATATACTTCAAATTTGAGTATGTATTAACTTATCTAGGCTACTTATTAAAAATCCCATGAGGTGAGGCTAATGTTAAGGTAATCTACAGGTCACACTTTAAGAAACACTGCCTTAGATCCTCTTAGAGCTCAGATTCTCCGCTTACTTATAGCCAAAGAAAGATTTCAGACTGGTGGCTTCATAAAGTGGTTCTCAGATTAGCTTTATCAGGGTTTTTGAGAAGCTTCTTAAAATTTCGGACCACTAACTCCCTAAAGTCCCACCCAAGCCTATTATATTAGTCACTTTCCCATACCTGGGACAAAATACCCAGCACTTGCAACTTTATTTTGGTTCATGGTTTTAGGTTCAATCCATGAATGAGCTGGCTGGCTCCAAGGCCAAAACAGCACGGTCAAAGGGCATGGAAGGGCTAAATTGTTCAACCTATGGCAGCCAGGAAGCAGAAAGGGAGAAGGGCGGAGCCTGGCATCAGAATACACTCTTCTTTGTGATTTGGTTGTTAGACACATTAAGTTTTTAAAAAGATAAGGAAGCAATGACAATAGTTGCTGTGGGACCACAACTGGGACCATACATTCTAATTGCATTGCCATAATAAAGATTGCTTTACATTTATTGTTATTATTCGGTGCTGGGGATTCAGCCCACAGCCTTCTACATGCTAGGCTTTTTTGATCTATATAAAAAAATCATTTGACCTTATAGCCCTAGGTTCTCTACAGAATATCATAAATCCTCAAAGTCTATTATATTCAAAGAGCATAGCAGGCTTGTTAACAATAGACACAGGAGAGTTATGAATCAGAATGACATATGTCTTTTTGTCTTCTTACACAGGTACACTTAATCTAATAAAGGTTTGGAAACTTATCTGAGATCTCGCAGGACTTTCACACATTTATGTACCTTCATCTGTATTCTCAATGTGCTCTAATGAGAAAAAGATATGAGATTAAATATTTGTATAAAACAATGAAACAACAGTCACTGCTTTCAGATTCATAATATAAACAGGACATTCTGAAGGAGACACCATTTAACATTTGTCAAATTTTCCTGATTAAAGAGAATTTTATGTAAAATTCATGTGAAATGCTGACCTAGATAAATTCAAGGGTGGTAGAAATTAACTTCCTTATATTCGTCAAAAACTCATTCTACTTGGTCAGTGAATAAAATTGTAAGTTCAAATTTTGTTCACTGGGCCACAGAACTTCACCGAGGGGAGCTGGGAGTGGTGCACATGCCTGTAATCCCAGCACTTGGGAGGCTGAGGCAGCAAGGTCATCTCAAGTTCAAGGTCAGCCTGGACTACACAGCAAGATCCTGTCTCAGAAACAAAACAAAACAAAAACACTTCATTGAGGAGGTCAGACTATTTTCAACAAATTGATTAGTTCTTTCATTCAGGAGAGGCTGATTTCCATATAGAGCATAGCATCTTAAAGGGCTATCATTTTAAAACTTTTTTTTGAGATAATTACAGATTTGTTGAAAAGCTGAAGTACAGTAAATATCTGTATATCCTTTCCCTAGATTTCCTACATTTTGACAATTTATGACATTCTTTTTTTAGTGACTTGTGATGATTTATAAAGAACAATTTTATAATCACATTAATTTTTTATTCAGCACAATGCTAGGCACTTGCTGGTAATATAATTGAAAAACAGCATAGAAAATTAGATAAGAAAGAGTATTTTTATTGTCTTTTAAAGTATGTGTTAATTGTATATGCTAATGAGAAACAATGTGATATTTCAAAACACACATAGCTTGCACTAATTAAATCAAGGTAATTAGAATTTAACTCATACCACATTTCTTTATTGTTTTTATCTCTATATACACATTTTTGTTTCCTAAACAATCTGAGAATAAGTTGCTTTCTTGATACCCCTTTACACTCAAATACATTGTTAAAACACAGGATATTCTTATGTAACCATAGCACAAATATAAATATCAAAAAATTAAAATGCCATAATCCAGTCTATAGACCTTATTCACATTTTCCCACTTGAATCAAAATGTCCTCTATAGCAAAAGAAAAAAAAAATGCCTGGCTCAGGTTCTAATATGGAATTGTTATTGTACTTAGGTGTCATGTTTCTTTAGTCTCCTTTACTCTGGAGCAGTTTCTTGGCCTTTGTTTTTCATGACCTTATCATTTTCTGACGAAAATAGGTCATTTGTACAAATCTCTCAATTTGAATTTGTCTGATGTTCCATGATTAGATTCAGGTTATGCATTTTCAGCAGAAGCCTCCTAAATGTGTGCCCTTTTCAGAATGTGTAAAGTCTATTTGTTCTATTATTAGTGATGTTAACTTTGATCACTTAGTTTAAGTGGTGTCTGCCAGGTTTCTCTACTGTAAAGTTACAATTTTTTGTCTTTGTGGAGTATTTTACATACTTTTAGGTTATGGAAATAGCCTGTTTCTCAACCTTTTGTTTACTATTTTTAGGACTAATTGATGATTCTCATCCCAATATACAATTATTTGTTTGTATGAAAATGTGGTCATTGCCAGGTTATGATTTTCTAAATTCAGCATACTTGTTATATGAGCTATCATTTGTCTTTAAGGAAGACCTTTCTCATCCCTCCACTTATTTACTCTTATTCACATCTGAATGGGTTATTCTGTAGATTATAACTCATTACTGTGACTCAGTTTGATGCTCATTACCCCAGAATCCAGCTGTGTCCTTTAAACATTCCCCTATCATTGAGTACTTTCTGGCAGAGTAAGACATTTTTGGCTCATTTGTGCTTTCTCTGCTCTATTCCAGGTTATCAAGCACTTTCCTTAAAAGCCTGTTTTTTAAAAGTTTAGAGAATTCAGATGCTAAGATCTGAGTGCTAGGTACTGCACACAGTTGCTGTGGGGCTGTCACTACTTTTAGGCTCTCTCAGAGGATAAAAATACAAAATATGTGTTTATATCTCGATTTATAAGTTTTTCTACTTATATATTATAAAGCTTTATTAACCTATACTGTATTTTCCTGAAAATAAGACCTAAGCGGGAAAAACAATGCCGGCCCCAATCAGCCTATCCTTGCCTTACTTGCCATTACAGAGCAGCCACAGAGCCAGAGAATAGTGAGGTATAATCTTTTGCATGGCACTGGCCATCACCATGGTAATAACCAGCTAGAGCTGGTTCTGGTTAGGTTGTTCCAGTTATATTTTTGGGAAAACACGGTAGGCAGGGAAAAATGAATTAGTACTAATTTTTACGATTCTATTCCAAATACTACAGGAAAAAACTGTAATTTGAATTACTATCCCAAACACACAGGCTTAAAGCCATTAAATTCTTCATGCTATAAAACAGGAGCTAGAAGATCTTGGAACCGCCAATCATCAACCTGTCCACTTTCTAACTCTACTCACTAGACACTATCTATGTGTGGCTAGGAAAATGGAACTGAAAATGATTTTTTCCATACTCTCAAGCAGTTTAATCAATTAGAGATGACAGGAGAAAAAAACCGCTCCAATGTAGTTTGAATTTTTTTATCCAGGTATGCACAGTATCCTGTGGAAAAAGAGGAAGGGACTTGCAGCCAACCTGAGTAAATTGAATTATTTCAGAGAAGAAAACAAATGTAGGCTGCTCATACACTGAAGAGTTCTTAGACTTTTTTTGTGTTTGCATGAAATAGAGCACTTTGCTTCTGAGGAAAAAAAAACATTTTAAGGAAAGCTCTGATTTATCTAGAAGGGCTCTCAGCCTTGAGTTAATCAAAATATTGCTCAGCCATGAGAATACCTATGCAAATAACTTCTCAGGACCAAAAGTTATATTTCACTTTTTCTACTAGACTCTTCCCAGTGACCACAAAGGATGAAAATAATGTCAGACTTTTATATTTCCCATTATCTCACTATGGATTTTTTCCTTTCTTCTTTACAAATTAGGTAAACTGGCTTATTTGTCATTATATTGATTGTCATTCTCTTGAGTAGCTGTTTATATACACCAATTTTCTCTTATTGAAACTTAGTTTGAGGGAAAATAAAAGATTGGTGTGTGTATATTGGGGTAATATGTCTAGAAAATAAATGCTAAGAAAAAAATAAAATTCAAGGGAGAAAATTATTAGGATTAAAAATAAGATTTTATTACTTTTTTGTCCTAAACATAAAACATTTTCATCAAAATTTGCCATGAGTGTTTTTTCAGAAATAAGGTGGATATAACCATTAATCATGGTATGTCAATGTGAATGGACTAAGAAATTCCTAGCACATATGTAAAACACAATTCTGAGTATGCATGTGACTAACCATGGGCCAGAAAACTGAGGGGCTAAGACCCACCTAGATGTGGGTGCCACCAATTAAGAGACTTATAGCCTGGAAGGTATAAGAGAAAGTGTGCTTATTTTTGAAGAGCTCCAGACTTCACCATCAACTTTGGATATGAGTTTCTAGTTTCTTCAGCCTTCCAATGCAGAGTAGTACCGCCAACTCTATGGTGAGCTTCCAGGGCTTTGACCTTGGACTAGTGCTGCTTCCTTGATCACTCTTGTTCTGTAGCTTCCATCTTTTTGGGCTGAACAACTACTGGATCTTCCAGATCACCAGTACAGATGGTCACTGTGGATTCTTCCACCTCTGAGCTTACAGTAGCCTACTGTGGACTCTCCTGCCTCTGATCCCATAAGCCTACCGAATAAATTGCCTGCATGATTATATATATATTTTCTGTTGATTGTTCCTCTAGAGAAACCTAACTAATAAGAGTGAGCTGTCTTCTACTTTGACTAGTTTTTCCCTGTTCTAAGGTTGTTGCTCTAATATTGCTTGTTTTGACAATTTCTAAAGAGTTGCTCAGTGAGACGCCTAAGGTCACCAGTCCCAGAGGCTGATCTTAATGTGCTGTTATGGTTGTACCTACAAAATGGCTCCCAGCACAGATGGTAGAGTGGTATCAAGTCATCTATGTACTCATCTCTTTTTCCTTCTAAGAGTAGTTAAACATGTCTGGATTAATTAACTTTTAATGAGGGGGTTTGCTCATGAGAAATAATAATGTTAAATGTTAACAAGGATACTGAAATTTTTTTTAATAGTTTAAAAATCTGGTAATTTAAGGTAACTGTAAAGTTGAGCCAAGGGGAGTTTGGGTTGCGATGAAGAATCACTGCCCATTCTTAGATCCGCTAGGCACAGAAGCACAATGGTCACAGAGAAGTGGAGCATGGCAAAGGGGCCAACCTCGTGTAAGTGGTCTGGGGCGATAGCAGCAGTACCTACAGAAAGCATGGGCCACATATGTGGGATTACACAAGGAATGGTAAGAATGAGCTTCCAGGAGGGAGTTTTTGACATAGGTAATGATTAGTGAACAGTTTTTTGAACATGAGAATTTTTGATTACTTTATTAAACATCATATTTATTTATTTATTTATTTATTTTTTAGTTTTGGTACTGGGGATCGAACTCAGGACTTTGTGCTTGCAAGGCAGGGAGTGGCACCACTGAGCTAAATCCCCAGACCTTAAACATTATAAAGTAAAGATCTGTCCATCATAAAACATGATATGGGTGTATAATATCCAAAAATACCCATTGAAAATGCTATAGGAAGTATAACTGTGTTTCAGAATCTATGCAGTATTAAATATAATTTGATAAAAAAGCAACTAATCAGAAGCATGAAAAACAGTATGTTTTTAATAAGAACCTATTGTTGATTCTGGAATAATTGTTGCATGCATGTCCCTAGTCATGTTGGACTTCTCCTTCAGTTTTGATTGGAGTAGTGTGTGTTCTACAACACCAATTCTAATATCCATCTGAATGGTTTCTTGCTTTAGTTTTGTTAAGCTCTGTTTAATCTTCACCAAAGGAGCTGCAAAATAAAAATAGCATGGAATAAAGATGTTTATTTGTTATTATAGAATTGTATGACATTCTCCTCACTTTGTCTTAAGCCAAAAATAGGGTCAAAATCACTGCCAACACCTCACTGACATTCACATAGATTTCCTGTGGCATTTTAAACACCTGAGAGTTTTAGGATGGGAAATGATGTACTTAGGCTGAATTTCCTAACATTTCTAGGGGAAGAGTTGCTGAACAGGTATTTAAGGATGTGTTTGGCATGATTTTATGGGCTAGTATATTTGGCTGCAGGGAAAGTGGACACAGAGGGGGAAAGAGGGAAGTTGGAATTACCACTTAGAACATTAAAAAGACCCTAAACATGTCCTTATGAAAATCGCTTAGTATATATCATTAGAACTCTAGAAAGTCTTTCTAAGGGATATAAAAGCATTAAGGAATTCCTACTGGCCCATGCCAAAGTAACCAGCTCACAATGGAGGACAATTATTAGAAGATCATTAATTCTTCTCTATTTGACATCTGCCCAATTAGATCTCCTGGAAAAGTTAAAAAAATAAAAAAGGTCACCACGTCATTGCTTTAGTGTCATTTAGTCATATACTACTACCCTTTTGTACATAAAGTAGAAAAATGAAGTTTATTTGATGAAAACAAATGTTATTTTTTTTAAATTGGCGGAGCAAAGTACATACTTAAACATTTCCCATTTTGTCTTTGAATCAATAGTTTGAATTTTTAAAATCCCATAAATTATAGTAAAAACTACTACTTCTTAGCTGTTTTATAGGGAACACAGCATATCAATTATCACACATCATTTTTGTACCATGTAGCTCTCTTGAAACAAGTAGCAAATAGTTCATTTTAAAAAGCAAACTTCCTTCTTATTAGTAATATTGCTTCCTTAAGCAGGTTCCTTGCAGGGCTAGTGTTCTCTTGCTTACCTTTTCTCCTTAAAATGAGCATATACTTACCACCATCAGTCATGCTGCTGCCTTTTTCTTCCATTTCTTGTTTTATCTTTTCTAATTCTTCTGTAACCTTTCATTGAAAACATTTTTCATGGTAAGTTCTGAATTTTATTAACTTTCAAAATTTCTGAATGATATATCAAGAATTAACTTAGATATCAGACAAAGGGAAATAACATTAGGAATATTCTGGACATAATTAAAACAGGATAAAGCATGTAGATACACAAAGATCTTCATCTTCTGAGAAAACTCATTATGTTAAAGTTCACCAAATTACTTTCATTTTAGCTTTATCCTGTTGTAACCTTATAAAACCCAGGTTGTTTAAAGTACTCAAGCCCTGAAATTATCTTATAGCATCTACCATGTCATTCTTCAACAATTAGTTAACAATTAAAATAGTATAAGCATCCTAAAGAGATTTGGTATTTCTAAAGATTTTCTAGGTATCTTTCTTAATATTATAGTTCTGTAAGAGACTGGGCTAGCCTTTTCTTTCTAGGACAGTACAAAAATGTTTATATCATGTGGCTATACATAAAAATGTTCTACTGCTCTACTCAAACCATGAACTCCAAACTCTAAGAGGCACACTATATTGTCAATTTACGTTGAAATTATATGACTACAGACTCTACTAGCAAAATTCCACAGTAGCACTGTATTATTACAGACAGAAAAATAATCTTTAAAAGTTGAAAAAAATTACATAATCTAGGAGTAAGCCATAATTATTGTAACTTAGTAGGTTTTATTTTTATCATACTGGTGAGTAAGACCTTCTCTGGGAATAAAGTGCTCATCCAAGTAAAGCAAATTAATTTCTTTCAGGCACCTGAAACATTACAACTGGGAATAACTACCTACTCCAAAAGAACTAAATGGATCCCTGGATGCCCTTCAAGTGTTAATTTACCTAATGTAAGTGAGCACTTTACTTCCACATAATGTTTTATTTGCCTAGAAGCATCACAGGATAAGAGTCTAAATATTTCTAATGTTATATGTTGAGTATTTTAAGATAACTATTCCTGATATAATCTCCATAAGAGAAGCTTAATTTTTTTACTGTCAAAACAATAAAGTTTGTGAAAATTACCAAATTAGTTTTGGATTTTAGTTCCAAATTGGCTTGTAACCTTATTATAAAGTTTTTATTTTTCCCTGTCAGCTCACTGGAGATAAGACTATCTACAAGGTTTCACCTCTCTTGAAAGATCATGAAAATAAATGTAATGACTTGTATAAGCAAATATTCTAGCAGTTCTCAGAATGAAGAGATTATAAGCCACTTCTAAAGGTAGACAGAGATATACCCAGGACTAATACAAGTTATCAATACTAATCACTAAAAGTAAATCTAATATCTTTCAATAAACTTAGCTATAGATTCTCCAGTCAGTGCTTTACCTGCTCTTCTAAATATTAATTATAATTACATAAAAATAAGGATTAAAAGAATTATCAGTGTGCTAATATGAGCAAGTTTAATGTTGAATTTAATATAGCAACTTCAGGCATCTTATGCAAACAAGAGAGTCACTGATAAGAAATTAGGGATTTTGATTTGAAGCTAGAGGGAGCAATTATTGAAATAAGCATTCAGTCATCTATGGTTGTGAGTGGTTGGGGCCCAGCTGACAGGTGAGAGACACAGTGAGAGAGAGCACTGGTGCTTACCTCAGCCAGGAGTCTGGTCCTTTCTGTGACTCCACCACTTCCCTGCTGGTATCGTTCTCTTGCCTGAGGGGAAAACATCAGCTTTAATGACAAATCCAAAACAGAAGCAGATTACTTAAATATGACCTCTTTGTGTTTGCAATTTCTGCATATCATTTTACGGTAACCCCTCCAGCTTGTTTGTGAATAGAATGTGAAAGTGACGTTTAACTGTAGCTATTTTATGTCCGTACTAGGCACCATGTATTTAACTAAAGCACTATAAAATGATGAACTAGCTTAACCTTCACATACTGCCTGTGTGACTCTCATGGACACGGTTCACAATAAAAACTGTCCTCAGCCATCTCTAAACAGTTTAGAAGAGTGCTTGTTGGTCAACTTAATTTGCATGCTACACAGAGAAAATTAGTTCTAAAAAGATCAATCAAAGTAGAGCATCAAACTCAGCAATTAAGGATTAACAAAGAGTATGATAGTACGATCAACTGGAATATGTTCTTGAAAACTAACCTATTAATCAAGTATTTAGTACTAATGTTAGATACAGTATGGCTTTAGTCAGAGAATTTTACATCATTTTTAAAGTAAAAATATTCATAATAGATGTGTATATGAGAATACTAAACAGTTAATATAGAAAAGTAAAAACTACTTTCTATCTGGGCTTTGAGAACTCAGTACAGAAGCATCTCAAATTTATTTCCACTTTTTTTTCTCCTAATTTTGTTCGCTGAAAGAAAAAGATAAATATGTTCTGCTGACATTAGGAAGTATTTTGAACTAGTCTTCCTTAACATCAGGACATAGGAAGCATAAATTTCTAAGGAAAGCCCTTAGATCCCTGCTGCTAGGACAGAGAACTGCTGCTTTCCAGGGCTAGTGGTGGTGGTTGTCCAAACCTTCGTTTGTTGTTCTAAACCTCTGAAAGAATGAAAAATTTGTCTCATTTCTTTAATTACACTGCTTGTCTCTGAATCTGCCTTGCTTTCATTTTGTTTATTATATGGTTGTAAGCCATTATGGCAAGCAGTGTCTTTTCCTTTTGACACATGTAAATGCATACTTTTCTTATTCCTACTCGTACAATATGTTAACAACTGGACTCTGAAACAAAACAAGGTGTTCTGATGATGACCTTTTCCCATTCTAAGTCATGTTCTCCAACAACATATACCCTATTTATTTAAATCAAAGAAATATGTTTAAAGGTTGCTAGAAAAGAATTTCTACTATATAGAAAGTGGGATAAGCCTCACTTGATTTCCTAAATTAGGCAGAGAATCAATTAGTTGCTGTTTGTGAAAAGCTTCACAACTTTCAAATAAATAGTGTTTCAAGTTTAGGGATAGGGGCAGGACCTGGAGTAGATCCTGGAAAAAATTCCCACATTACCTCACTCAGCTGGGCTTGTGCTGCACGGTGCTCTTGAACCAAGTGCTCAAGCTGATTGTTGATGTACTTTTCTCGGCTGCCAATCTTCTCCAAAGTTCTACTAATTTCATTATGGAGTTTGTCCAAAAATCCCTAGAAATTCCATGGGATTTTAATAGATAATTCACAACTACATTTTTCAAAAATAGTTAAAAATGAGTTAAATATTTTTTAATTCCTGCCACAAATGATTAGCCACGTGAAAAAAAGATAATTTTGAAATTTCATTAACAAAAAGAGTTTATGATGAGAAATATTTAAGTCAGACTTTGCGGAATGTTAAATAGAACAGAGGACCTGATAGGCTTAGTCAACTCATTTGTCTTTATGCATATTTAAAATTTATGTGATTGTAATTAGCTTTATATAAATTTCTAAATCAAAGTAGGTAAGGGATAAAATGAGTTGCTCACAATTCAAAGATAATTGCAATATACCAGTTGGAAGTAGATCCCTAAGCCAGGAGTTATAGCCTGAGACCAATATGTTCTCATTCAAGTTTTGCTTTTTTGTGGCATGCCCCAAAAGACCCTCACTTCCAGCATGGCAGCAGTATGGGAAAACTGTAAGTTCTAGACATTGTTGGCCTGATGTTCCTGAATCCCTTTAAGTTCAGGGATAATGAATGTTTCTAAAATCTCTATTAGGTATATATGCATAATATATATTTAAAATAGAATAGCTTTTACGTAATCTGGCTCTCTTTAGTAGTTGGTTTAAGTAGTAGGGCTGTGAAATGTAATATGGTGGTATACCAATAAGCTCCTGAAAGGCAAAGATTGTATCATTTTTTCCTTTCATATTCTCCCATAATAGATGTTCCACCGATGAATACATCTATTAAATATATCATCTTAGTTTATTCATATACCTTGGTCTCCTCTAGAGCAGATTCAATTCCACTTTTATGTTGGTGCATTTGGTCAACATGTATTCTCCAGTCCTGTATAAGCACACACAGAAACAAAGTAAAAAATACTACATTTCCTTCTTTCCTCAATTTGTTCTTAAATTGTGTCCTTTATCTAGTGCTTTGGTTGTTGCTCTATTTCAGGTGGTAGAGTTCTATATATAGCTTGCAATCAGATTACAAAGAAATAAGTGTAGAGTACTTTAGAATAAAAGGTTCTAAATAAATGTAAATTATTTTATGTGTTCATAGAGTGATGTGTGATAATTTGAATATAAATTATTCCTGTACTGATGGTGGTTAATATTTATGACTACCTAAAAAAAAGAAAAAATTTCTAATTACTAGAAAGAAATACTTGTTTAAGCAGTAACAATTATGTTTGCCAGAAGCAACTTTCAACTCTCTACTCTTGACTCAAATATCATATATCAAAGATTAGTTTGACTCCTGGAAATTAAAATGGAGCTCACTTCTTCAGTAAGACTTTAAAGACTTTATAAATTTATAAACCCTGAATTTATAAATTTATAAACTACGAGTTTATAAACAGAATTTATAAACTCTGAAATAATTGTCTAATACTACTAGGCTGACTTGGAATCTATATCAGCATTTTAATTCTTTGCAAGATATCTTTTAAATTTGTAGCTATTTGTATGTAGCTACAAGTAAAAAATTTTAAAGATATACCCATCATAAGAGAAAAATATTATAGTAAATTGAAGTAACAGGAGTATTTCTAAGTCCCACATATATTTGCATACCTCAATGCAAACATGATAAAAATATTCTTGGCATTTCAAACATAGTAATTATAAAATTATAATATACCAAAGCTGTAAAGAATCACAAAAGCATATATTTCCACCTTAGTCATTTTACAGCAAAGCAAACAGATAGAAGAGGGCACACTTTAGGGTACACAGATAGTGGCATAGTTGGATCAGAAGCCAAATGTACAAATTCCAACACATACTGTCAGCTCAGAATTACAGAAAGGGCAACTGGCTACTTGACAATAGAGTGGAGAGAACATCAACACTTTCTTTTACCCTTGACCACTTTTTTCTGTCACATGAGAAAAAGTATCTCAGAATCCAAGAGCTAGAAAGGAACTTAGAGATCATCAGCTCACCTAACAATCACCTAGTGCAACATTTTCATTTTACAGTTGATAGGACTGTTCACCACCTGTGACTATGACTAGACAGCTTTAGCAAAGGAATAAGGTCTTCCCAGTTCATCCAGGCAATTCTGGAAAGCAGGGAGAAGTACCTGGCTGGACTTCTACAATTGGACCAAATATGGTGGCACCTATTTAAGGCCAGGTAAGCCTCTTTATGAGAGAAAATGAACCTAACAAGTATCATTAATTTTTTCAAAAAGTACTCATCCCACCAGGTTCCACAAATAATTTGAGAGGGCTTATTGAACACCAAGCTCAAGTATTTACGTCTTCTCTTTCTATTGGCCTCTTTTCTGTCTTTGCCTGTTTCTCTCCAAATACACGTATATATAAACACACACACATACACAGATATACACATACATCTCATATATAGTTTATTTATTGCTGTGGGTGTGTTTTGTTTGTGGTCTCCTTTTTCTACCAGTATTACATACAAATATATTTTTGCACATATTGATCTTTAAAATATGCTGAGAGAAGGATCCATGCCTCATTCATCTATACATAACTATGCTCTATTAATGTAAATCTCCACTGAGGAGCTGGAAATTTTAGAACGACTTGAAGCATAAGTAGCATTTCAACAGGACAGAAAAGAGGAGGAAAGGAAAAGTATTTTAGGCTGAAGAAGTAACATAAACAAGGAAAATTATGCAAAACACATAGCTTAGGCTGACTAGAACAGGGGTGGAGCAGAAAAATGGAGGTACTTTAAATTAGATCAAAGGCTTTGTCTACAACACCTGATGACTGTGGCTTTTATGAATGGAGCACTATAATTGTTTCAATCTGGAATGGCCTCCAAGGGCTCATGTGTTGAAGGCTCAGTCTTCAACGCAGCAGTGTTCAGACATAATGGATCATGAGGGCTTTAACCTCATCAAGGGATTAATCTATTGATAGGTTCATAACTTGATGGGCTATTGGGAGGTGATGGAAGTTAGGAGGTGGGACCTAGTTGAAGGCAGTGGGTCCTTGAGGGGCATGCCCTAGGGATTGTCTTGTTCCAGGTCCCTTCCTGCCCCTTTTCTGCTTCCTGAGTCCAATGAGATAAGTAGCTTTCATTCACCATGGCCTTCTGCTATATTTCCGCCTTGCTACAGGCTAAAAAAGCAATGGAGCTAGCCAGCCAACCATGGTCTGAAACCATGAGCTAAAATAAACCTTTCTTCCTTTAAGTTAATTTTCTCAAGTATTTTGTCACTGTGACAGAAAGTCAACCAATACAGGCACTATCGATACATTTAGATTGCGTTTTAGAGTCAAGTCTGTGTTTTGAGAAAGTAACAGAGTGAAGAAATTACTAGAAGAGCAAGAGACTGAAGACTTGAGAGTAGTTAGGAGGCTGTGTCATGGTCTACTTTACACTAATCATTAGGGCTTGAACTAGAACACTGCTTGTAAGAATGGGAGGGAGGGTATGCATTCAGTGAGATTATAGAGGCAGAACAGGCTGTGAAGACTAAGCAGAAGTGTCAGTATATGTTGTATGAAGTGGAGGTAGAAAGCAGAAAGAGAGAGACTATAAAGTGTCTAGCCTGAGGAACAGAGGGGATAGAAATACCAATGTGACAAGAACAGGACAGATTTTAGGGAAGCCAAAAACACTGAAAAATTTGGTTTTGAACTTGTTAAATTTGATATGCCATTGGGAAATACTTATAGCCCACTCAAATGGACAGCTAATAATGATTTACAATTATTGGATAGGCAAATCTGAATATCTATTAAAATCTTCTAGATGGACATATGTCCTAATGTGTAGTTATTAAAAGAATGTTTTCTGAAAGGTGTTCTTACCCATTAACCCAGCAATTTCACCTCTTGAAATTATTCCCCTCTATTATGATTAGTTTAAAATGTCCCCTAAAAAATCTCATGTTTGCAAGTAAGGCATGGCCAGAAGGGCTGGGCCTTGAGTGCAGTCAGGAATAAGTAAGGCTTCACCCATTGTAGGCACAAGGATGTAAAACCATAAATCTTTCATTTGAGAAGAGCGTTCTTGGGACTTTTGCTTATCTTGAGCTGCTTAGGGAAATATGCCTTTGAGTTCAGCCATCCAGGCACCCAGAAGCTTCAGCATCCATAGTTCAAGAGGACCTGGGTACTGCTTAAGTTGGAAGACAACTTCAGCATCATTCACGTGGTGCTAGTTTTTCAGGTATACAGAATGTAAGAGTTATGGGGTAACTGAGGCTTCCTTCCAAATTTCAGAAGCAGGCTTTAAAAGGTCAGGCAAAAATGTGTGACAAGGTCACAGACTCTCACATGACCCCAGGCAGTGCATGAAGCTGTAAGAACAAAGCTGAAAGTGCAGTGGAGGTTTCAGGAAGTTGGAGAGGTCAGGAACATGGAATGTTTGCTGAAGAAAGCTGCAGATGGTGATTAAAGCCAAACCAATAGAGAGACCATGTGGACAGCAACAGGTAATATTGTTTGAGTAGGGCTGTCCAAGCCCTTTGGAGCTCACATCTGCACTGGATGGTGGGCATGAAGGTACGTGATTTAATGTTTGCTTTGGTGGATTTTGGCCTTGCTTTAGTCTGATTTCTGTGTATTCCCTTATCCCTCCCTTTTGGAATGGGAATTTTTACCCTGTGCCATTGTAATGTTAAGTGTTTAACTTTGTCTTTCATTTTTTTTTGGTACCGGGGATCGAACTTGGGTCCTTGCGCTTGCGCAGCAGGCGGCGGCAGAAACCACTGAGCTAAATCCCCGGCCGTCTTTCATTTTTATAGGGGCTCACAGCTTAGAGTTTTCATTGAGTCTCAGAAGAGACTTTGTGCTTGGACTTTTCAGCAATGCTAGAACTGTTAAGACATTGGCGACTCTTAGAGATGGACTAAATATATTTTGCATAATGAGACAGACATGGGCTTTTAGAGGTCTGAGGCAGAATGGTATGGGTTAAATCTACAATGTCCACCCTCCTCCCAAAGTCTCATTCAGAGATAGGGTCTAGTTAGAAGGGGTGGACCACTCAGGATGTAACTTGGAATGGCATATTCTGGTCCCCTGCACTTCCTTTCTCTCTCTGCTTCCTGGTCACCATGATGTGAGCACCTTTCCTCCTCTAGCCCTTCCACCATGCAGTTTCTGCATTGATGTTGGTGGACAATGGACTGAACTCACTGAAACTGCGAGCTAAAATAAACCCTCTTCTAGTTTGTGGTTATTAGGTATCTTGTCCTGGTAATGAGAAAGTGACTCATATAATTGGGAATACATACAAGGATTAATGTAAAAATTCTTTGTAAAACAGTAGAAAAGTATTGAATAGAGGAGAGTTTAAAGTATAATATTAATTCCACTGCTACAAGTAATATAGTATGATACCATTCTTATAGAGTTCAAAACCAAGCAAAACTTAATGACACAATATTTGGAGATATATACATATACAAATATAATTAGTGAAAAAGTGAAGAAGTAAAGATGATACATGGACCGGAGGATGGTAGTTACCATGGTGAGAAGGGCAGCAATTGAGGAACACAAGGCAACTTTAAGAGTGCTGAAGTGGTCTAATTCTTAAGTCAGGTAGTGACTTGTTTTATTATTGGGGCTTGTTTTATTATTAGGCTTTGAAAGTATATATGAATTGTATATTACTTATACACTTTAATTTTACACACAAAAATGCTAAATTGATGTCCTTAAATATTTAATGATCAAGAAAAATATGTGTAACTACATATGAAAGGAGAAAATAAGTCTCAGAAGAGTATATTAAGTGTTTAATTCATTAAAAATTAGTATTTGTGTATACAGTATTTGAATCTGTGTGCTATGAATATGCTTTGTGTATTTGGATATTAACATAGGGATTTGAATATGAGGG